CCCCAAAACCCCAAAACCCCAAAACCCCAAAACCCCAGAGATTTTTTATAATTTTGAAACTAGGAAACCTGATATATAATTAAGATGGAATCAGAAACTAAAGATTACAATACCATTAGCCAGCATGATCCTTTAGAACGAGCGAAAGCTGTAAGTAATTTAGTATTACAAAAACCATTAATCTTTAAATTTTGAAAATATGTTTCGAAACATTAAAACTTTAAAATTTATGATATCCAAAGTCATTAAGAACTGTATCCTTTAATAAATAATTTGCCATAAACATACTATAAAATGCAATGACCAGTTTATTATCTGTAATCATCCTATTTGTCACTAAGATATAAAACCTGCTTTTTTCTCTCAAGCCTTATATTTTCTCTCTAAATCCCCTCTTTCACCATCTCTATACTCCAAAACCCCTCAGTCTCGACTCTAACCTCCTTCAGACTGAAGATTCCACCAAGAAAGAAATTGTCGCTGAAGAACTACCAATCCTCGCTTACTGAAAACATTGCTGTAAAACCTACATGACTCGAATAGAAACCGAATGAGATTGCACTGAAGTCCCTTTATGAATCTGAATGTCAGTCTTCTTCCTCTTCTGCTACTGCTGCTGCCCTGGCCAGATGAGGCAGACCAGGAAGTCCTACCACATCTGTACCAACTGTGACCAGAAGATCCTCAGAGTCACCAATAGTTTGGCTACCACGATCCAGATGTTCGGCAGGAGTATCGAGAATACCTGCGAGGACGTCAAAGAAGGAGCGTAAGCTCTGGTTTTAACCCTTCTAGGAAAACAGCCGCACGAGAAGTCAAAGAAACAGCTGATGAGCTCCAAGAGCTCTCAGCTGAAGTCAGAGAGAATCTAGAGCAAATTAAGAAGCATTTGCCTGAAGATTTTGAGAAATTGAAGGAAGAGATTGAGGAAGGAGTCGAGAAATTTCAGGAAAATTTAGGAAATGAAGTCGATCAGCTGAAGGAAAAAGTCCCTGGAGAGATTAACAGGATAGAAGAGAAGATTGAAGATGCCCTTGAAGACCAGCCGTTAATTAGTGGGGATAGAGGGACCGAAGTGCCTTCTATGGAGCAGATGAAGGACAAATATTTGGCAGAGGGAAAGGAGTAGAGGGAGAGGAGGACTTGAGGTTTTACTGATCACACCAAAATTCTTTTTATTTAATATTCAGTATATGCTTTTATGAAAGGGGTTTTGGGGTTTTGGGGTTTTGGGGTTTTGGGG